CCCCCCCCTGTGCCTGCCCTTTAATATAAGCCAGGGACCTGGTAACTGAACTGGTTTCCCGAGTCCCGTGAGCTGCTCTAGCAAATGAACCCAACCCGAGGGGATCACGGGAAGCTCCGACCGACAGCCAGTGCGTCAGAAGCACGAGTGACCATCTGGACTGGCACCTGAGGTGGGGCGCAGTCTTGGGAGGCCGAGCCCTTCACTGTGGGGTCTGGCGCTATCTCCGGGGGCTGGTGTCAGAACTGGGTCGAGTGTGTGGAAAATTGGACGACTGCTTGGTGGGATTGCAAATAAGCCTGAACCGGAGAAGCTGTTACCACTGCTGAGCGCGGCTGAGGTAAGTATCACTCAGGGACCCCCATGTGCATTGCTCACCTGGGGAACACATGGCCAGGATTTTACCAAACGTCCAGAATATACTTAACATGTGTGACAAAGTGTACACACCACATGGAATAGGAGTCACTGGAGGTAGGGGACCCTGAGGAGCCAGCATGGGTGCTGCCTGGGAAAGGGAAACAAAGGATGACGTCACACAAGAGCCCCAAAATCAAAACTCAAAGGGCAGCCCGGCAGGTGTGGCTCAGGGGTTGAGCATCGACCTGTGAACCAGGAGGTCACAGTTGGATTCCTGGGCAGGCAATTCTCGGGTTGCGGGCTCAATCCCCAATGTGGGGCGTGCAGGAGGCACCGAAATGATTCTCTCTCATCACTGATGTTTCTCTCTCTCTCCCTTCCTCTCTTTGAAATCAATAAAAATATAACAATTAAAAAAAAAAGCCCTAACCGGTTTGGCTCAGTGGATAGAGCGTCAGCCTGCAGACTGAAGGGTCCCAGGTTCAATTTCGGTCAAGGCCACATACCTGGGTTGCGGGCACATCCCTGGAAGGGAGTGTGCAGGAGGCAGCTGATCGGTGTTTCTCTCTCATCGATGTTTCTAACTCTCTATCTTTCTCCCTTACTCTCTGCAAAAAAATCAATAAAATGTATTTTTTTTTAAAAAACACCTCAAAGGGCAGAAATTCCACAGCAGAAAGCCGGTGCGAACGCACTGCTCCTCACAGCCCTGCCTCCTGCTCTGGGACAGGGGTGGCGAGTCCTTTAATGATAGTCCGGGTGCTTAAGCGGCCCCTGTCGTTCAGGTCACTCCAGCTATGACCCTCACAACGGCCTGCAGAGCCTGGCGCCCACGAGCTGCAGGGAGCAAGGTCTGCCCAGCGCCCCTGTGCCTCGCAGACCCAGGGTTTACAGGTTTCTGGGGTGAATAAGACTCCTCGGTATCACCCCATCTCACTTCTCACGGCGGTGGTAGGAGCTGTGTAAGGTGGCATCCGTGACTGTATCCCCATTTACTTAAGACTCGTCCACTACCGGCAGTTAAATTGGTTTCCTAACAACCATGGGCCTTAAGGGCTTTGCACAGGTAGCTCAGTTCCCACACAAGGATCCAGAGTCCACAGGACTGTGGGGGGCTCTGCACACGCAGGTGGGGTGCCACCTGCACGACCTCACAGGAGACGATAAAAATGCGCTCAGCTTTGGACCCAGGAGTGGCACCAATTTACCCAAAACGTGAGCTACAGCCTGGCCGAGGTGCTCAAGGGGTTCAGTGGGTGAGCGCTGACCGGGAGGTCAGGGTTGATTACACAGGTCGGGGCACATGCGGGGGTGGGGAGCTGCGGGCCAATCGTGCAGGAGGCCGTGGGTGGATGTTTCTCTCTCCCTCTCCCTTCCTCTCTAAGACCAGTAAAAATATATATTTTTAAAGGTGAGCTACAAACTAGGTAATTCACTGCAGCATTATCTGTAGTAACTGAAGATTAGCAACTACTTCAATGAGAGAGCTGTACAAAGCAGGGAACGCCGGTTCCGAGGTGACAGTAAGTCCTAGACGTACCGTTAAGCGAAGGGCAGGTACAGACCAGACTAAGGGCGCGATGTCCACAGCCGGCACGTGGGTGTCGCCGGTCACCCCGGGAACCCCGAGAAGAAACGAGAACTGAGCCAGGAACGCTCCGGACAGTTCAGGTTCTGCTGCCGCCCCGCCCACCACGCGCGGGGAGTCTGAGGGTCGCGTCGCCTCGCCTCCTCGCCGGGCACTGAGCCTCC